TCCCCATGTCTCCTTGCAGCCTTTCCCCCCATCCCTTACTTCCCTGAGCTGTAGGCTGTCTCTGCAGGGTGGGAGTTGCTGTCTGGACTCTCTGTAGCTGCACCCCTGCAGATCAGTGAGTATAGATAGGCAGGGAGGGATATGCTGGATCTTCCTATCCCTGCCTGTCTCCACACACACAGCGACCCCTACTGGCCAGTGCTGGTATTGCATAGTAATCTCTTGTTTATACTGAGAAAAAATTTGTATTGGCAGTATCACTGTAATATTGGCACCAGCCAGGCAGCCTCAAATACTGGCTGTGCCAATAAAATAAAAGCCAGGTGGAATCCCTAAGAGTAGAGTGTGAAAAAAAAAATGTAAAAAAAAAAAATTTTTTTTTTTTTTTAATAAATCAATGGGCCTATTCCATGGGCCTGGGCCTGGGCCTGGAGCTGCAGCTCCATCAGCCCCTATGTTAATCCGGCCCTGTGGACATTAAAAGGCCCTGTCATGGGCATTGAAAGACTCTGTCAGGGGCATTGAAATGATCTGTTAGGGACATTAAAAGGCTCTGTAAGGGACATTAAAAGGCTCTGCCAGGGACATTAGAAGAATGTCAGGGGCATTGAAAGGCTCTGTCAGGGACAATAAAAGGCTCTGTAAGGGACATTAAAAGGCTCTGTCAGGGGCATTGAAATACTCTGTCAGGGGCATTAAAAGGCTCTGTAAGGGACATTAAAAGACTGTCGGGGAAATTAAAAGGCTCTGTCAGGGACATTAAAATGATTTGTCAGGGGCATTGAAATTATCTGCTAGGGGACATTAAAAGGCTCTGTAAGGGGCATTGAAAGGCCCTGTCATGGGCATTGAAATTCTCAGTTAGGGACATTAAAAGGCTCTGTTTGGGGCATTGAAAGGCCCTGTCATGGGCATTAAAAGATTCTGTCAGGGGCATTGAAAATTCTCTGTTAGGGAGATTAAAAGGCTCTGTAAGGGACATTAAAAGACTGTCAGGGGCATTGAAATTCTCTGTCAGGGACATTAAAATGCTCTGTCAGGGGCAGGATTTGATTTGCATGATAATAGCCTATAGTGCAGGTTTATACTGTACAAGTACTTGGATGGCTGTACAAGAAAATTAGACTTCCCAATATGGCATCTTTAGTTAAAAGGGTGGAGCTTGAGAGCCACAGATCAATTGATATTGAATTAAGACATAGGTATGCAATGACAGCTTCCTAGCATCATACACAATTAGATTCAGTTGTAGTGGTTATAGTGCTCGGAGAGTCCCTTTAACCACATTGTATGCATAAACAATTCACTAGCTAGTTACTTCCTGTTTTTTAAGCAAACAATGCTTCTTATAAAAATCATCAGATAATTTATTTCTGGACCCATACCAATGAGAAATTTAAAAAATTACAAAAAATTTAAAGTAGTAAAATAAATATTTTTTTTTTCCAAAAAAAGTCATTCGGGGTTGGCAACTAAAGTGAGAATTCGCATGGATTTTAAAGCGAATTTAAAATGAATTTCACATTTTCAAAATAGTTTAATCGGAAAAATTCTGCAAGTCAGTTATGCTTCCAGTTACACTATTTTGGCCTCAAATTGGAAATTCACTTTGAATTCTTGACAATTCTCAGTAAATAGCACTATTTTTGTTTTTAAAGGAATTCAGCCTCTTACTCATCACTGACCTTGGACGAGCACAGCATTACAGCCGACCTCTCCCCTCCACCGAGGCGGCGAACAGGGCCAAGGGCACTCAGAGACAGAAGACTTAAACCTTAATGAAGGAGATCCAGGCAATGTTTAACACGGACATGGCACCAGTCTGGGAAACAGTGCCCATGCTCACTACACGTGTACAAGCAGTGGAAGAAAGCATGAAAGTTAAAAGCTAGCGTAATCAGCACTGCAGTAGCAGTGTGCAGACCACCAGGCTCAGATATCCAATATGGAGGACAAGGCCAGGACACTCAACCTGAGGATAAGGGTTGTGCCTGAAACTATTTCAAGAGCAGAACTCCCTCACTATTGCTGGAGGCTCTTGGCCACTTTTCTCAGACCTAAACAGACCAAGAAACTCGTGGTGGCCTCCTGCTTCCGGCTCAACAAGGCTACCAACGCAGCCCAAGAGGTACCCAGGGATGTCTTGCTAAAACTGGTGTGGGACTCTGACCACAGAGTAATCATGGGGACAGTCATGGGTACCACCACAATCTATTTTGAGGGGGCACAGCTGGCATTTTACTGAGACTTTTCAAGGCATACTTTGACATGGCGGAGATCCCTCAAGCAGATCACCCAGCTCTTCTCGGAGAATTCAATCCCCTATAAATGGGGCTCCCGACGACTAATCGCCGACAAAGCGGGCAATACATACGCAATATCACACCTCAATGAAACACCAGCCTTCCTGCAATCCCTCGGCCTACCAGCTGAGAAGTTATGGCCACCAGACCGCCCAGCTTGGATTGTAATGGAAATAACCCCATTTGTACCCACAGGGAGGGCACCCAAGGCAACCGAACTGTCAACCTGATGCCTGCGGCTGCAGATACCTGTGCCCTAATTTACACAAAAAGTCCCTCAAATGTGTACAGGTTTTCTGTGTTTTACTGTTTGTTGAGATCATATTTAATACCTCTGTTGTTCTGGCTCCGTCCGCATAAGACTAAGCTATAAGACAGCATATCCCTGTCCCCCCACACCACATAGTGAATGCAAGTGATTCCCCTGTGTCATTACAACTACCCACTGCATGTTCCACTTAAGGCCAAGGCCTTCTGTTTAAGCACCAGCATACTACAGCTCCACTTCCTAGCTATAGACGGCTCTCCAGCTGCATAAACATACTATAGGTGCCTTACTAGCTTTATGGCGCTATGCCACTTAGCCACAAGGCACATGAAGCCCATCACTAGTATCCCCCCCAGTTGCACGCATATTCGCTGAACTAGAGGTGGAGCCTGGGTATCTTAGCTTACCATGTTAAAAATGAGTAGGATTAGCAAGGTGATGTACATCCAGCTTCAGTGTCCATGTTGGTTCTATGCCATTCACATAAAATGTTGTATTCAATGCAAACCCCCCCCAAAATAAAGAATTAAAAAATTAAATAAAAATATGTGAGTTTAATGCTATGGGTGACCATTGTAGTTCATCCTGTGTATAAGGCTATTATGTAGAACAGATATGCAATAGCAGACTGAAATATAATTACAGCAGATTAGATGGGGTGATTGGTTCTTATCAGCTGCCTCAATCTATGTTACTATGTTTCTATTGCAAGTGTTGATAATTATTGTTTCAGAAGCTGTATGTGTGCTCAAAGATTTATATTATTACTTAGATTATTGCATAGTAACCTTTTCCCCTTCCTTTAAAACATAGTTCATTGAACTTATGGTTCTTCACCTAACATACAGCCTGTAGGGTTGAGATACACAATAAAAACTAGCAATGTATCTTAATTTACCTAGCACCGGTACATTCAGTATTTACTTTTTGCCACTGCTTTCACTAAGATCACCATATAAGGTGTGCTAACCTTTGGAACCTTGAGGTATGTGTTGTTGGTGGCCAACTGGGTGTCCCTCCTATTATACTACTCGGAGATTGTGATATTTGCGCTCATTCAGCATTGAGCAAGAGAAGTGTTACTGGGGATACTGGAGTTAGGCAAGGTCTCATGCACCTTGAAAATAGTTGTCTATGCTTGGTTCCACTCGCCATAACTACATCAAATGGGGGGTGGGGATGGACACAAACTGGTAACCAGCATTGGGAGCTTGGAATCCTAATCTGTTTTTGGAGCAGGGTAGGGATTAAGGAGTGTTTGGTGCAAGAAAAATGCCTTCCACCTCATGTTAATGTTTTTCGTTAGGTTGGTGGAGATGCTAGCAAGCAAGAGGATTGAATAAAATAAATAGTAAACAGCAAGATGATGATAAAAGGAAAATTGGAGTTACGGAACAAGAGCAGGGCATGAATAAGGAACCAAAAAAATGAGCGAGTGCTGTATCATAAACACAGATACTCATCATAGACATAGACATAGTTGCTGATTGCTACATCACAAACAAAACAAAAAAACTGTATATACACACATAACACGTTTCACCTTAAAATGGCTTCATCGAGTGTATTAAGGTGAAATGCATTGTGTATTTACAGTTTTTGTTTTGTTTTTAATATAATCTAATAAAGTATTTGGGGTATTTATTCCATTGGTTTGAGCCATATATTTTTTAGATATTTTTTATTATTCATTTTTACTTATTCTAAATAGCTTACACTTTTGTTCTTGGTACCCGGAGAAAATATTTGCTCAAAATTGAAAATCATCAAATCCCCAGTGGGGATTATACCACCCAAGCTGACTACCTTAAGCAAAAACAACTGCTCAAAACAGTGTGTGTAAAACTTAAATTTTATATTAGATTTTATACTTAATGGAACACACTATGTTGCTCTTTTTAAATAGCGTGTACCACCATGATTAAGGAGTCCAGCGCCTACGTATATCCGCTTGGTTGGCAACATACCACCTGACACCTAAAACGTTGAGCTTGCAAAACAAGGTCTTTAATTGATCTGTGTGTCACTGACTGTTGGATCAATGGTTGTAAACTATAAGAAATACTCAACATTTATTGGAAACATTCCACCGCATGCGGTTAGTACTAGAGCTGGCTATAGCTCTAATAAATGTGAATGAACATTCACTAGTTGCACTATGTATATTGTCCCTCTTGTACCCAGCAGTCTGCACTATTGTTTCTATTTTTGTTTCTCCATATGTACCTGAGGACTAAGCCCCATGCTACTGGAATTAAGAATACTGGACATAAGAAAGTTGTGGACTGTATTCAGTTGGACTATTTGTTTTCTTTTTTTTGTTGTGTTTGGAACAACCTGTGTTTTTTGTTGTTGTGTTTGACTATACTTTTAAGAGGTTAAGGAAGTTTATCTTCACCATAAGTGTTTGCTGCCTTTTTATCCTGTGTTCAGTAGCTTAGCGCTATAACGTTTTTTATATATATCTTTTTTTGTTCATATACACAGTGACTGAGTGCTGCATCATAGGCACGGTGACTGAGTGCTGTATCATAGATACAATGACTAAGTGCTACATCATAAACACTGTTACAGGGTGCCACATCATAGGCACGGTGACTGAGTGCTGTATCATAGATACAATGACTAAGTGCTACATCATAAACACTGTTACAGGGTGCCACATCATAGGCACAGTGACTGAGTGCTGCATCATAGGTACAGTGACTGAGTGCTGTATCACAGGTACAGTGACTGAGTGCTGTATCATAGATACTATGACTAAATGCTACATCATAAACACTGTTACTGGATGCCACATCAAAGGCACAGTGACTGAGTGCTGCATCATAGATACTATGACTAAGTGCTAAATCATAAACACTGTTACTGGGTGCCACATCATAGGCACAGTGACTGAGTGTGGCATCATAGGTACAGTGACTGAGTGCTGTATCATAGGTACAGTGACTGGGTGCCACATCATAGGCACAGTGCCTGAGTGCTACATCATAAGCACAACAAGTGAGTGCTGAATCATAAAAACGTTGTTGGAGTGCTTTGTCATAGTTCATGGAAGATGCATAGAGACAAGCGCTGCAAACATAGGACATACACACAAATGCACATTTCATGATTATTTAATTGAAATAGACCCATTGTTGTCCCATTTTGCTCTCTCAATGAACCTGCTACCTCCCCACTCCTTTGGATCCTGACATGTCATAGAGTTGATCTTCATAAAGGTTTTATGATTCACTAAGAAACAGAGATCTTTGACACACAGTAACCAGTGGTGTATCCTGGTTTTGTGTTGCCCTAGGCAGCCCTACATATTTCTCCCAAATGTGAATTTTTCCCCTGTTATTTTGTGTAGATAGACCATACAACAACAATTTTAAGAAAACACGTTTTTGGTTTAGTTTGTTCATGTCAACATTCAAATAAATTGACTTTACATTTTAAAATATACATTGATAATTTTAAATAGATTTAAGTTTTTGTATAAAGAGTACTTTCAAAGAAATTGGTGATCATTGGCATCCAATCTTATTAGATAGGATCATTCCAGCTATTCAGCCTTCCATATTCCGTGTGTTAGTTATGCTTTTTTTATTTTAAACATAATCCTGCGTAACATGTTGCAATATTTCATTGTTACATTTGACGAAATCAAACATAATTTGGGTATATAAACATATTTCCCAAGAAAGTGGATTAATCTTATAAGAGCAGATATTAGCTTGCTAGGATAGGACCTGCCAAAGATGGGGTACATTGACGTTGTGGCAGGCTAACTGTAACTAAACTCCCATTATTTTTGCCTAGGTGAGGTGTTTTTAAAAAAAAAAAAAAAAACCTATTACATTCTGTGAGCTTTGAAATTGCTCTTTTGTGAATGAACGAGTGCACTGGATCTTGTATGAAATATATATACACTGCTCAAAAAAATAACGGGAACACTTAAACAACACAATGTAACTCCGAGTCAATCACACTTCTGTGAAATCAAACTGTCTATTTAGGAAGCAACACTGAGTGACAATCAATTTCACATGCTGTTGTGCAAATGGGATAGACAACAGGTGGAAATTATAGGCAATTAGCAAGACACCCCCAATAAAGGAGTGGTTCTGCAGGTGGTGACCACAGACCATTTCTCAGTTCCTATGCTTCCTGGCTGATGTTTTGGTCACTTTTGAATGCTGGCGGTGCTTTCACTCTAGTGGTAGCATGAGACGGAGTCTACAACCCACACAAGTGGCTCAGGTAGTGCAGCTCATCCAGGATGGCACATCAATACGAGCTGTGGCAAGAAGGTTTGCTGTGTCTGTCAGCGTAGTGTCCAGAGCATGGAGGCGCTACCAGGAGACAGGCCAGTACATCAGGAGACGTGGAAGAGGCCGTAGGAGGGCAACAACCCAGCAGCAATACCGCTACCTCCGCCTTTGTGCAAGGAGAAACAGGAGGAGCACTGCCAGAGCCCTGCAAAATGACCTCCAGCAGGCAACAAATGTGCATGTGTCTGCTCAAACGGTCAGAAACAGACTCCATGAGGGTGGTTTGAGGGCTCGATGTCCACAGGTGGGGGTTGTGCTTACAGCCCAACACCGTGCAGGACGTTTGGCATTTGCCAGAGAACACCAAGATTGGCAAATTCGCCACTGGCGCCCTGTGCTCTTCACAGATGAAAGCAGGTTCACACTAAGCACATGTGACAGACGTGACAGAGTCTGGAGATGCTGTGGAGAACGTTCTGCTGCCTGCAACATCCTCCAGCATGACTGGTTTGGCAGTGGGCAGTGGGTCAGTAATGGTGGGGAGTGGCATTTCTTTGGGGGGCCGCAAAGCCCTCTATGTGCTCGCCAGAGGTAGCCTGACTGCCATTACATACCGAGATGAGATCCTCAGACCCCTTGTGAGACCATATGCTGGTGCGGTTGGCCCTGGGTTCCTCTTAATGCAAGACAATGCTAGACCTCATGTGGCTGGAGTGTGTCAGCAGTTCCTGCAAGATGAAGGCATTGATGCTATGGACTTGCCCGCCTGTTCCTCAGACCTGAATCCAATTGAGCACGTCTGGGACATCATGTCTCGCTCCATCCACCAACGTCACGTTGCACCGCAGAATGTCCAGGAGTTGGCAGATGCTTTAGTTCAGGTCTGGGAGGAGATCCCTCAGGAGACCATCCGCCACCTCATCAGGAGCATGCACAGGCATTGTAGGGAGGTCATACAGGCACGTGGAAGCCACACACACTACTGAGCCTCATTTTGACTTGTTTTAAGGACATTACATCAAAGTTGGATGAGCCTGTAGTGTGTTTTTCCACTTTAATTTTGAGTGTGACTCCAAATCCAGACCTCCATGGGTTGAAAAAAATGGATTTCCATTTTTTAATTTTTGTGTGATTTTGTTGTCAGCACATTCAACTATGTAAAGAACAAAGTATTTCAGAAGAATATTTAATTCATTCAGATCTAGGATGTGTTATTTTTGTGTTCCCTTTATTTTTTTGAGCAGTGTATATATCATAGGATATATAAAGGGTTGCTCAGCACCAGTCCACCCATCCTAAGCAAAGAATGGAACTGCACTTGGGAATAATTTACTTATCCCATATACCACAACTGTGTGAACGATAATAGATCTCTGTTAAGGGAGGTGTCAATCTGTAGCTGAAAGCAGACCCACTGAACAGTGGAAACTTTAAAGGTTATATACATTATATTTTCTCACTGAATTGCTCATGTGCGAAGAGTGTGTCCTCTTTTTTTCCTTTTTTTTTTTTTCAAAACATTGCAAATTTCAATAGAAATTGGCATTTTTATATATTAACCTTGTGACACCCCTCACTCGCTGACAATCAGACAACTGATCCTGTCCCTTCCTGGTTGCTTAGCTCAGTGGAGCTAAACTCAAGAGGCAGCAACTTCTCAGAGCACCTGCCTTGCAAAGACATCTCATTGGGCTGCAATGGGAAGTCTGTGATTGGACAGCCACAGAAAGTCCAGGGTGGGGAAAAAGGGGAGGGCTTTCAAATGCTGCAGACAAGAGATCTGCTTTTTGTTATACCCCTGTTTAAAGAAAATGCATAATTAAATGCATGCATGGTTTTCTTAGGGGCATATATAAACAATGATTCATTTTGTATTTGGTCAGTTGAGTGTACCATTAATGCTCAAAGCAAAAAAATATCCTATGAGAGGTAATTGTCTAAGCAGAGGAAAAAAAGAAGAAAATTGTATAATTACAGTTCATAAAAGCTATTTGAGCCTTTCATTTAGTTTTCAGGAAGCATGATGCATGAAAAAAAGATTCAGCTTTTGTGCAATAAAGATTAACCCCTTAAGGACCAAACTTCTGGAATAAAAGGGAATCATGACATGTCACACATGTCATGTGTCCTTAAGGGGTTATATGCAATACAACCTACAATAATATATTTGAAAAAATGAATTTATGATACTTGCCAATTATTATCTTGACATGATATTGTTTCAAGGCTATCTTCATAACTCAGCAGATTGTAGAATGTGGCGATATTGCTGTCATGTACCCACCAATACATGGATTTATTATCTACATTGCAAGGGCACTACAAACACCATAACCACTACAACTCACTGCCTCAGAGTTGTTTCACCTCTTACATGGGGTGAGCCAGGCAAAACTCGGTCTCTACAACTTCTGACATAGCGCTGTAAGCTTCCTGTCTGAGCTTACACCTGAAGTTCAGGGCTTAGCTAATTGGCAGGGCTGTCAATGCATGGGTGCACTAGACAGTTGCCCGGGGCCCCATGAGCATAGGAAAGCATATCATTTAAACAGTTAGTGAATTTTCATTCCCGCCCCCCATGACTTCTCTCCTGCAACTGTCAAAAATAACCTAAGTTCTCAGTGAATGCTTTTCCAGCAGCCTATTTAATTACCCCTACTGATACCTTTTGTGTCACTATACCCCACTCCCTCTTGCATGTAAGCTCATTGAGCAGGGCCCTCAACTCCATTGTTCATGTGCATCCATTTGTCTGGTTACAATTACGTGTCTGTTAGTCCACCCATTGTACAGCGCTACGGTATTTGCTGGTGCTATATAAATTATAAAATAATATTAATAAGGGCCCCATAAGCTTGCCAACCTTTCAGTACATTATTCTGTGAGATTTATTCAGAACCTCTTTATTAATATGTTTATGTGGACTGATCACCTCAGCAGGGCTGATGCAAGGATTAGGTGATGCTTCTGGCACCAGCCAGGGATTATAGGAGTATAAAAAGACAGCAGGCGGAGCAGAGGTGGGTGTTACTTAACGCGTAACACCCAGGAAGTGGCACTGGAACGGAGGAAAGATGAATAAATCTCTATATTTTACATTGAATACACCATGGATCTTCGTGATATGTGAAGGATTTAATGTTTATTGAAGAGATTTCAGCTAAGCTTAATTTTTCACAGCAGGTTCACTTTAATCGGTCATTGCCCTGTGAGTTGGCAACAGTCTTGCATATTCTGCACATTTTTTTTTGGGGGGGGGAACTCAAAACAAAACAAACACCAATACAAAATAAAGCATCCAAAAGCAGCTTGAATATTTTATACACAATTAAATCGCCCCTCTAAATTACTGGGGAGCTATAAGAAAGCCGTTCTGTTTCAGGGGCCATCCTACCAGCAAGGCCCAAACTGCTCTGTAACATAAAGCCAATAAGAATAGGGAAGGGGTACCTTTAAACTACTTCTCACCATCAATTCTTTTGTAATTACTTTATTGTGCTGAACTAGTGAAAGCTCTGATGACAATTTCAGTTATTACCATTTACATTGATGTGTGGAACATGTGCCATTTACAGTAGAAGTTCATTCTAATGAAGATAATTTGTTGTACATATGAGCCAAAATTCACATCTGTAGGTGATTTGTCCTTTATTTAAACTCCTCTCCTACTTTCCCATACTGAAGTTAAAACACACTGCAGAAAAAAAAATGTTAAAAAAAAAAGAACCGAGAAAGAGAAAAGAAAAATATAAATGAAGCGAGGGAGTGAACGAAAGTTCACGTTGCAAAAAATGTAGCCATTTGTCATTTTGTAAG